GCCTACCCACACTCAGGAGGAATTGAGGTTGAGAGGGGGTGGATTCCAGAGGAGATCCTGATTGGAGTCTCACGGGGAGTGACGTGCAAATAGGGGCAGGCACCGAAGACTGAGCTGTTTTTCGGTGACTGAATTACGCTGATAGACGGAAAGCTAAGTAAGGGCAAATCCTTCACTTCCCCAAAAATGCATCGTAGACCATGCTGTTTCTCTTAGTTCTGCTGATGTAACTACAAAGGATATCTATTGAAGTCAACAGCCTGATGGAGTGATCCGCAAGCTGCCGTACGTTATGTACTTGCTGACAGTCAAAGAAGTGGATTCCCGGAAAGGCAACAAGATACAGCCATCAGCTGGTTTCTGAAGAGCCTTGTTCACTCTCACCCCACTGAAAGCTGTAGCCTCTGCAGCTATCTTGACTGGAGGATTGCTTTATTTATTTATTTATTTATTTTTTAAGCACTATGTCCCCCCCATTACTTCTGATCATTTGTTGTTGCTCTGTCTTTGTTCACAGTGCCCTTTGATTGTGGTGCTCACCCAGCAGGGCAAATTGAAGCTGAAACATTAGGAACAATGGGATCAGGCAGTGATCCAGACGGATACATTGGGAACAAAATACACTTAACTGCATTACTTTCAGCTGATTTGCCGGTTCTTTTAAGTAAACGGTCCTCGAGTATCAGTTGCAGGGCCTGAAATTCAACCTGCTGTAGGCCATGTGATCTTTGGTTTCTACACTGCGGTAGCACATACAGACGGATTCCTTTAGTGACATGAGTGTGTTTAGCAGGGGAACGAGAATAATACGAACATTATCCTGGAAGGAGTCACATTAAGTGAGATGCCCAGTAGGCTGTTACATGCTTGAGCAAATCTGTAGTTTGTAGAGAACGTGTGAGAAATGGAGGTCGTGGTTCTGCAAATGCGTGCGAAGCAAGTTAGCTTCTAAGTCCTGTTGAAACCACAGTGGTTACTTCTGTTTTAAAGTAGTGTATAGCATTTAACAGTAGCATGCTTGGCAGCTCAGATGTCATAACTGCATATTTTCATGCATTACACTAGAGATGTTGCAGTCCTTCCTGGTGTTACAGCTAGAGCAAGGCCTATAGTAAGAGACCTCCTTCAATGTTACCTTGTTTAAGTCCACTTTGGGAGACAAAGGAACCAGAGCAGGAGGTACCCGAGTCACAAGAAGTCAGGTTTGTTTTCCATTGTAGCCTTTAGGTTCTCACTACTCCACCGAATGTATTTGTCACTGTGGATTAAAGAGCCGTGCCTGTTTTAAACCTCAGATATGGGGAAAGCAGGGAGTCAGCAGCATGCAGTGTTTTCTCTCAGTGCTGTAACCCTCACTTTTTCAAACAATATTTTAAAGGTCACTTATTTTCATAGCTTACTGTTTTGGAAGGAACTTAAAAAAAGAGTCCCTTTGATGAACAAAGTAGTGCCCTGTTCTTCACTGGAGTAAACTGATGCAGCATGGATGAATCGGAGAGACACCACCAATAGACCAATGGGGGACTGGTTCTTAACATCTAGAGCTTCTTCAAAGTCAGAAACTATTATGCTTGCTGATCTCTCGGGCCTAGACCACATCTAACTGCATCCCGCTCTGTGCTTCTTTACTGATTGGTCAGTAAAAGCAAAGGCCATAATCCTGACCTGACTAAAGTTGATAACAGAACTCCCAGCAACTTCAGTAGAGCCGAAATGTCATGCAAGGCGCACGCCTTGAAGAGTTTTTACCATCTGCATAGCTGATTGTGGACTCTCAGGTTGAAAACTGTTCATAGTGACTCAGTGTTGCACAGTTGGGCTCAGCAGCGGGGTCAGCACATGAATAAAGAGTTCATTTGTACTTGCGAGGCACCATATTGGCTAAGTACAGACGGTCAAAAAGCCTGAGGCTGAATCAATTCAGTCTTTGCAGGTTAGTCTAAGTTGCATAGATTAAACTGACGAACCAGTGAGCAGACATTTACTCTGTGTAGCCACATACCTGCAGTGACTCAGGGCACAAGCTGGGGGGTGCTACAGCACGGCTCTCTGGCACAGCCAGCATGGGCTATGTTTTCCCTTCCTCTTCCTGCTGCCCCTGAGGTCTCTGGGATTTGCAGTCCAGAATCACAGTAGCAGGACACTTGTGGGTTGCTCATCACTTCCTCTTCCTGCTTCCAGGTGCCTCTGGGATTTGTAGTCCACAGTTGCAGCCAGCGGTACATTTAGCAGGGGAGGGCAGCTCTACACTTGGGGGAGGGGAGGCTAATTCCCTCCTCCTCCTGCCCCCAGACCTCTGCAGGGGTTTGCTGTGGGGAGGTAGCAGTCCTTGGCTCATCCCTTCCTGCAACCCTTCTCTGCTGGAGCAAACAGGACAGCCCAGCCCAGGGATAGAAAGCATGCTGGGATACTGGGGGAGTGTGATTTAACTTAAACCAGGAAGGGGTCTGGGACAGAAGTTTCATAAAATGGTTTGACCGAAATCAGTTAAAGCTGATACTACATTCAACCAGGTGTATCTTAAACCAGTTTCAGACATTTTGAAACTGGTTTATGTGCACTGAACTTTTGTTCTGTTACAGGTTTAATCTTTCTAATTACTTAAACTGGTTTATTTGTAACTTCTGTCCTTCACCACTGTGTTGAAGTGGAGGCTGCCCCTGGGGAAGATGCTTCTTCCCGGAGGTTGCTCATGATACATCGCCTGCTTCATGGTGGCCCTGCTTTGCAGCCTAGTGGGGGGAGGAAATAACTGAGCCCCACCTCCCTAGCTACTCTGCATGCAGGGGAGTGGGGAGGAAGTGAGGAGGACCCACAACTGTGCCTACATCTTCCTGAGACCTGGCAATGGGTTAGAATTGCTTCTTGTGCCCTTTCTCAGGGCCATTGGTCTCCTACGTGGCCTGGAGACTGCGAAACAGCAGGGGAAGCACAGAGTGTATGACATAAAATGAGCATCTCATGAACTCTGTGACTATTAACCAAATAATTTAAAATAAAGCACAGTATCTCAGTGCCCTTTGCATTCACTAACCAGGAGGGTTGGAGGTAGATGGACTCCATTCTTGCATGTCTCCCTGAAGAAAGATCTTGAGATTCATAACCCTGCCTCCATATATGCAGCCTTTGCAATGGAGAAACTAGCATCCTTCTGTAACACCCAGAGCAAGCGCAATGCAAGCTTTCCCTGTGCTTCAGATGCCATGTAACTCAAAGAGAGTCAGTCCCTTTTAGATAGCAGTTCTAGTCCATCCCGCAGAGTCTGCTCAGCCCTTGGGCTTTCTGCTGAGGCTGAGAAGAATATCCCTAACCTAAACACCTGCCTTTTACCACAGCTGCACGCTCTGTTTTCTCACTCTACACTTCCTGGAAACCTTTCTTTTCCCTGAGTGCACTTGGTCCGTATGCAGCACGGCTGAACTATCCATGGAATTTAAGAGTCCCCAATTCCTTCTCGAGACGATAGACCAGAACAGTTTTACCGTTATCGCATACTCCAGAAGGGCCAGGCTTGTTTTTAACACACTACGGATGCGTCCTCGTCGGTCTGCGAAGAACAGGCATGTTAACAGGTCCTTCAATATACACCAGACCACATCCTGCGCGGCACCGTTGGCACACCGTAAAAGTCAGTCAGATTTGTAGGTTCGTAGCATCACCGAAAAGTAAGCTTCCCAGATCTCAAAACCTCTTTACTTGACCCAAATGTACCTGTTATAAATCCCCCAAACAGGAGTTTATGGTAGAACTGCTGATATAAAATGTAACTTTAATAGCACAATTGTGGTACTCTACTATATTTAGTGCTATCTTTTACTGTTCTTTCCTTGGTTACATGTTTATTTTAAGTATCCCATCATTTATTTGGTATTCACAGTGGTCTAATTACAATCACAGTTTACTATTGAACAGTTGCTTGCGATACTACATGTATGAAATAAGTTTCACAGCTTGAGATGGAGCTTTACAAAAATACATAAGAAAGCATAATAAGAATAACAAATGACTAAAGGCTAGCACGGGGCTAGATGTTGTCAGTAAAGGAGAGCAAAGTGGGTTTGTTTTAAGGGGTTTTTTTTTAAAGGTTGTCGGTAACATACATAATGTCTTCATCTAAAGGAAGCCCACAGAGAATAAATGTGGGCTTTCATCTGCTCTGCAATATCCTTTAGCATAATTGTACCCTTACTGCTACCCCTGTGGTTTGAAAGGATGCTGTCAGATTTACAAAAAAGAAAAAACTAATTGAAAATATCCCTTCTAACAGATTATTAAAATGGAAATAGATGTTAAAAACTAATATAGATCCTGATCTTACAAAGAGTGATTCATGTGCGTAGCTTGATGCAAGCAGGTAGTCCAATTGACTTCGCTGGGACTACTCGCATGGTTAAAGTTGAGCACGTGAATATGTCCTTGTAAATTGAGAACCATACTCGTTGTGCATTTCTCTCAGGTTTCGAAGGAAAGCAAACCCATTGATTACACTTCTGTTTGTAATCGCCTCAGGATTAAGTTCATTTTTCTTCCTTTCCTCCATTAGCACAATGGTGTAATACTATTTGAGCAGCAAATAATGGGTCTGGTTCTGCAACCCTGGCCCAAACTGAGGAATTACTCACAAAAATAGAGATGATTCATCAGGAGAACGGGGTGCACAAGTGGTTCATATCAGGGGAATGTTTGGCTTTTGTTTAATATTTAAACAAAGAAATGAAATCTCTTGTCTTACTGATGTAAAAGCTCATGGAAATATTTTGGCGAGTGTTAGGTTTGCAGGAAGCAAAAAAACCCCTAAAATAACATAGCAACAAGCTGAAAGGAAATTTAACCTGTATCTTTTTGGGGAGGCTTTACAAAGCATGGCAGGGCTGAGAATAAAATGAGTTCAAGGCAGCTGTCCTTCACATCCAAGGAAATAAGAGCTCTATGTTGCTCTCATGTTGCTTTTACATTGACAGGTAAACTCATTCTTTGCTTTGCTTTCTTCTCCTTTACAGGTTTATGACCGGCCGCAAAAGCACTCTGCTCTGCACTACGACCCAGGCCTCCAACAAGACTTCACCAGTGACACCTTAAAATCAAAGCACCAGCAAAAAAGTAGCAACCAGCACCATCTTGACTGGTCAGCAAGCTCTGACGCTGGATCTGCTTCTCAGAGTTGCTTCATCAATACAGAGTCCAGTCGAGAAGCAACCAGTGCTACCAAGGTTCCTGCTCCGGAGCCAGTTGTTTCCTTCAGCAAGTCCCAGGCAAAGAAATCTGGTGCAGGCAGCACGTGGGCTCAGTTGTCAACCAATAGCAAAGAGCATGCTGTTTGCAGTGCAGTTCCATCACCCAATAACCTCACCACCGCATCCCAGCCTAGCAATCCATCAGAGTGCAATGTGCTCCATCCTCTAGTGGATCAAGAGGGAGCCGGGCAAATCGAGGCCCCAGATCAGCCCTCTGGGAACACGAAGAAGAAGTCTAGCAAAAAAGACTTCATAACTCAAACCATCCAAAACTCAGATGTAGAATGGGTGAAAAGTGCTCAGAAAGCATTTGAGAGCAAAGCCCACGAGAGCGTGGAAGGGAAGAAGGAATCCTATTCAATGGACAGTATGCGCGAAGCATCACCCGCGAAGCAGAATCCCAGTTCTGCCAGCGGTTCTGAGAGTGATGCCAGTCACGTACGAATTACTATCCCGATAAAGACTCCCACAGCAGATGCATCAAGTCACAAAAGGAAAAAAAGGCAGTCTGCAAAATCTGCCACGGACAAAATAATCCAGGAGAAAAGCCTGCCTTCTGGACTCCCCCTGAGCAGTGAATTAGCAAACAGGACTAGTTTACAACCTGAGGGAAATAAAAAAGATTTCCGAGCCACAAAGCAAGGGAAAGTGATTGAGAATGAGTCCCCATTGGTAGATCTTGAAAGCAGTGGGATCGCTGACAAAGCTTCCCCAAGCAGTGCAAGTAGGCTCAGAAAATCTGCAGCTATGATGCCCGCTTCAGCACCCGTCGACCTTCCTCCATCGAGCAAGTTAGCAGAGATCCAGCACCCAAAACTCGCAGCCAAGCGGAGATGGACCTGCAGCAAACCTAAAAACATCCTTCGGGAAACCTCTGTGACAACGTCTGAGAAGCTGATGGTGGAGCCTCCTTCAGCCTATCCCATCACTCCATCCAGCCCTTTGTATACCAATACGGATAGTCTGACTGTGATTACGCCTATCAAGAAAAAAAGAGGACGACCAAAGAAACAGCCTTTGCTCACGGTTGAAACGATTCACGAGGGAACCTCCACCAGCCCGGTCAGTCCGATCAATCGGGAATTTCCCGGCACAAAGAAAAGGAAGCGGAGACGAAACCTGGCCAAGTTGGCCCAGATGGTCCCCGGAGATGACAAATCCATCAGCGAACTCAAGTTTCACAAAAAGGTCGGGAAGCTCGGTGTGTTGGATAAGAAAACCATCAAGACCATCAACAAGATGAAGACCCTGAAGAGGAAGAACATCCTGAATCAGATCTTGTCCTCCTGCTCCAGCAACATAGCTCTGAAGACAAAAACACAGCCACCAACGAGCACTGGGGCTGCAACCATCGATGCCAGGCTAGGGAAGCAGATAAACGTCAGCAAGAGGGGGACTATCTACATTGGCAAAAAACGGGGCAGGAAGCCAAGAGCAGAGCTGCAGCCTCCGCCAGAAGAACCTAAGACAGCCATCAAGCACTCAAGGCCTGTTTCTAGCCAGCCAGAAAACCCAGCAGTGCCTTCCAACTTGCAGTCACTTGTGGCATCGTCACCAGCAGCTATTCATCCGCTTTCAACACAGTTAGTGGGGTCTAATGGCAACCTTAGCCCTGCAAGCACTGAAACGAATTTTTCCGAGTTAAAAACTATGCCAAATCTTCAACCCATCAGTGCTCTTCCTACAAAAACCCAGAAAGGAATGCACAGTGGAACTTGGAAGCTGTCCCCACCCAGGTTAATGGCAAACTCGCCTTCCCATCTGTGTGAAATAGGTTCGCTGAAAGAAGTCACCTTGTCACCAGTGAGCGAGTCTCACAGCGAGGAAACCATACCAAGCGACAGTGGGATAGGTACAGACAACAACAGCACTTCTGACCAAGCAGAAAAAAGTTCAGAATCCCGCAGGAGGTACTCCTTTGATTTCTGCACCCTGGACAATCCAGAGGCCATGCCGTCAGACACCAGCACAAAAAACAGGCATGGTCACCGGCAGAAGCATCTCATCGTTGATAACTTTCTCTCGCACGAGAGCATTAAAAAACCAAAGCACAAGAGGAAACGGAAAAGCCTGCAGAACAGAGATGACCTCCAGTTTCTTGCAGATCTTGAGGAGCTCATCAACAAGTTTCAAGTGTTCAGGATTTCCCATAGAAGCTACACGTTTTATCATGAAAATCCATATCCCAGCATCTTCAGGATTAATTTTGATCACTATTACCCTGTGCCATATATCCAGTACGACCCATTGCTCTATCTTCGCAGGACCTCTGACATGAAGTCTAAGAAGAAGCGTGGTAGACCTGCCAAAACCAATGACACCATGACAAAGGTGCCTTTTTTACAAGGGTTCGGTTACCCTATTCCCAGTGGGAGTTACTATGCACCCTATGGAATGCCTTACACATCAATGCCTATGATGAATCTTGGTTACTACGGTCAATATCCAGCTCCTTTGTACCTGTCTCACACGCTCGGAGCGGCTTCTCCATTTATGAGACCTACGGTGCCCCCGCCCCAGTTCCATGCAAGCTCTCATATGAAGATGTCCACCACTGCCAAACACAAAGCAAAACATGGAGTGCACTTGCAAACACCTGTGGGAATGAGTCTTGGAGACATGCAGTCTTCCTTGGCTCCTCCAAAGGTCGGCGCCACCAGCCTGTCTAGTGGCCGACTTCACAAAAGGAAACACAAACATAAGCACAAGCATAAGGATGAGCGGCTGTTGGGGACACACGATGATCTGAGCGGTCTCTTTGCTAGCAAGTCCACTGGCTTTTCCAGCCACGCGATCAACGAACGGCTGAGCAACTCAGACAAAGACCTCTCCTTGCTCAACGAGAAAAGCAAGCATAAGGAGAAACAGAAGCACCAGCATTGTGAAACCGGACACAAAGGCTCAAAGAGCAACTTTGAAGTGGATACGCTGTCTACACTATCACTTTCTGATGCCCAGCAGTGGACACAGAGTAAAGATAAAAGTGACTCGAGCGGTGATCCTGTTGACTCTTGCACAAAGAGATACTCCAGCAACGCTGAGAGTAACGCGAGGTCAGAGTCCCTGGACATGTTCGGTGACATGAACTCCTCGAGTGAAAAGCGGGACAACGATACAAGTGGGAATAAAAGGAGAAGCTTTGAAGGGTTTGGAACTTACAGGGAAAAAGACATTCAGCCCTTCAGGACAAATCGGAAGGACAGAAGCTCCTATGAGTCTTCAGCCTCTTCAGGTAAGTGCTGATTTCCTACCCGGAACAAAGAGGGACGGGCCATTCGCCACAGCTAAGTGCCTGTTTCAACGGCAGTCACTTCCTTGACGCGTTCTTAATCCAAAGGTTGGATTTTGTTTTGGAGGCAGAGGAGGGCGTGTATCAGGAATGTGGGTTAAATATTAAGCCAAAAGCCTTTTAAAGACATTTAGTTGTTCCTCGGCGTTTTTATAAATATTTTCTCGGCTTTGCCCTATTTACTTTAGCTGGTTGCCTTTCCTCTGGAAATCTCCCCTGCACTGCAGTTGACAACAGGCACTATTTATAAGTCTCTGCTGGCAAGGTTAGCTCTGCCATCTTGCCTCTTAATGGGGCCCAGTATCTCTGCCCACTGTGCGCAAGGTCTATGCTGGCACAGGCCGGGAGAGTGCGGTCACCATACTGAAGAAGGATTTTCTTATAGGGAGGATAAAAAGAAAACAAAACCAAAAAACCAGACTTCCTATTGATTGTAGTAGCCTGAGCCTGATTAGATATTCTGGGAGTTACAGCATTGTCGTGGAGCTAGGGCAGCGTTGTGTTGCTCTGCTAGCTGTTGTGGTGTTGGGTGCAATAAATATATAGAGACACAGATTAAAACCCTAGCTAAATCTGTCACTTCCCAGTAAGCAGGCATCACGCAAAGGACGGGTAGTATCACCCGTTCAGCTGAAAACATACCATGTGCACTTAAAGTGCAAACAGACACCCATTTGAGCAGCTTAGCGCATGGTAAGTAGTGGTGCAAGGTCATTCCTCTTCAGGGGAGGGTTATCTCCTGACCTGCACAAACTTTAATAGGTGGCTACATGCCAGTGGTTTGCAACTGTTGCGAGTGAAGTAATTATCCTGAACAGAAGTAGGAAGAGACTGTTGTCAATGAAACAATACACTGTAGGTGATTGAGGAGCAGTGTTGATTGACTCCAAAGAGTTTTTGTGCTCACAAGTCAGAAATATAAAATGCGTAATCAAAGTAGGGGGTGAAAGAGGAGTCTATTTGGATGTTCAGGACATCTGTTCTCCTCCCACAGAGGAATAATAGGAATCTTGTCTGAAAGGCCAAATTGTACTTTGTCATGTGAAGCTGCCTTCCTAGTGACATGCAGGCAGGTGTTTTGATACAGCGCTAAATTACTCGAGCATGGGAGCAAGCCCAGAGCTTCTGCACCATCAGATGTGCAGAGATTTATCTTTCACAGTGGGTATCATGCTTGGGTTTGGAAAGACGATGCTCTTTCCTGGGATAGCCAGCTTGAAAGGGAGCTTCTTATATGACACATGAAGCACCAGAGGCACATCCAATGGGGGTCATAGCTGGCTCCAACATGAAGAGTTGTAATTGCTGTTGGAGACTGATGTAGGAGAGACCGTATGATTTATGCAGCCTGCCCAGAGAAGATTCTTAGGTGTCCTCATTTCAAGGGCCAGCAACTGCTCCCATTGAAACTAGCTGGGTTTCTCCATTTCCCTGCTTGAGACCAGAATCTGGACCCAAGTAATGAGAAGGCATGGTCTAAAATAGGAACATTTGTCCCAAGGGATGGTTAGCTAGTATTTTTCCTGCCTTCTGGGAAGAATTTGCACTAGGCAAATTTACAATTTGAGGTCTTGAGGAGAGAAAAGTGGGCAACAGAAGTCTTATCCATAAAAATCAATGTACTGAAAAAGCCCACTGCGAGTGACATCCAGAAATCCTAGAAAGAGAGCTATATTTTTTTTTTTCCTGACCACACCAGAAAATATAGGCCAGTGGCAAAAGACAAATACCCACAGGATAGCATTCGTCCTCCACTGACTTCAGTGGCTTCTGTTACAGTGATAACGTTATCTCCTAACCCGCAAGGGTGCAGGGCTCACGTGTGTTTTTGGCCTGGTTGCATTTCCATTACAGATTGGAAAGCAAACAATTGCATGTGTATATCATTGCACTGAATCTTAATTTCCCCCTTCTAATAAATTAATGTATGAGAAGAGGAGAAAAAGAACAAAATTAACATTTGGAAAGTGGCCTGACCCTCAGCAAATTGACTTGTGAGGCATGAAATTGTTACCAAAAAACCTGCTTCGTGTCCTTTTTTTCTTCGGCTTATTGTTCAGGACAATTTCAAAAAAAATAGATGAAGTGACTGGCCCCACAGTTTGTGCCTTGCTGGATTCACTGTTACAGCTTTTTAAAGTTGTTTTTCATTTAAACTGTAGCATTCTTTTTGCTTTCCCCATTGCAAAAATGTGTCATTCCCCATGACCTAATCCGTCAAATTGCCGATTATGAACTGGTTTCTTCATTGTCAAAGTATTATTTAAATGGAAAAATCATCAGCATCTAGCTAACCAGAGCCATACCTTGTGCTACTAGAGGAAAAATATTAAAGCTAACGAGCTCTGCCAAGAAAGGTCTGGAGCCAAGACTGCTCATTAAAGTCTAAGAACATCTGTCTCATGATTTTCTAAGATCTCAGTGCAACCTTTGTATTTATCTATTTATTTTTATTTTGTCTTTGCCCTTAACTGAGATATTCCCCATTGGGGTTTTGTGCTTGCAATGGTCTGTAGCTATTAAATGTTGTCCGCTGAGGATGGATTCAACTTTCTCATGATAACTTGACCTTTTTCCCCTAATTCACCTTGTGTTTCCCTGTGGTGGTGAAACAGAGACTGACTAATCATCAAAATGTGAGGCAGAAGAGCCCTATTAGACAAGAAGTCTTATCACCGGAGGCTATTTCAGACTACTTGTTATCACTGTTAGGAATTTATAATCTCTTACTATTTAAAGATTAGGAAAGGTGTCCTGAATATTCCAGCTCAAGTTTAAAGCAGATTTATATTTGACTTTCATGTCAGTATTATTCTGGTCTGGGAAATTAGACTGTGTGGTCACTTGCTCATGAACATGTCCTTGATTATTTGAGCAAACCAATGGTTCTCAACCTTTTTAGACTCAAGGCACCCCTTGGCACACCCCAGAAATGCCAACTCTTAACTTTCACTCACTTCTTGATTACAAAAAAAATACTAGAGCAGTTCTTCTGTTGCGAAGACCTTGGAAAGACCGTAACAGGGTAGAAGGTGTCTGACACTATGGATTCCTACTTGAAAGCTCTGGGTTTCTCTTGTGAATCAAGCTTACAAGTTTGCACGCCTAACAGTGCTAATAGTGCACAGCATCTCACTACACCCTTAAAAGGACCTTATGGTACTCCAGGAGCCCCAGCTGAGAATCAGCAGAATATACCATTTAAATCTCTTATCACACCAGGCTTCAGATAAGGAACTAAGGGCCATCAACAGTATGCTGCATAAGGAGATACCAGTGACAGAGGTGACTGGAGAGTATTAAATGGCTCTCCCATGTTCACACGCTGCAGAGGGTTTTCCATGTAATATGCTGATGGAGGTACCATTTTCCCACTCAGTATTACCATCTGTTTTTTCACTGGACTTTGATTTTCCAGGCTCCTTTGTGAAACAAAATGATGCCTATCTTCTTCTATGCCCAGCGATTGAACAGGAAAGATGCTACTAGGACAGGGGTGGCCAGCCTGGTGCATGTGTACCACCAGTGGCACAGGCAGCCTGTGTGTGTGGCAAGTAGCAGGTTGGGGAGAGCACAGGCAGCGTAGTGGCAGATTGGGCAGGGATCACAGGGGACGAAGCAGAAAGCCAAGCAGCAGGTCAGGAAGGGGGCATAGGGCGTGGAGCAGAGAGCAGAGCAGGGAAGGGGGTCAGAATGGCACTCATTTGTGCCACACCTGCCAAAAACTTGGCCTCCACTGGTCTAAGAGATGACAGTTCAGTCCTCTGCTTCACTGCCGGATTTCTGGTGTGACACTGGGCAAACTAGGGCCTCTGGACCCTTGTTTGAACCATCTTCAAAATGGGAATAATAGGACTTCCCTACCTCAGTGACCCCAGGAGGAAAATCACAGTAAAGACGCTGAGGTGCATAGATGCTCCTGTAATGGGGATCACATCAGTACCACTGTTAGATAAACCCTGTCTGATTAAATTTAGGTTGTAATAGTTAACAGGCTGAGTATAGCTGACATGCAGCAAAGCCAAGTGTTGCTTTAGGCAGTTCCATAATTCTGTCTTTCCTCTTAGTGAGACTAATCAAGGTCTAGGGGTTATTTTCTGCTTAGATTATCTCTGCCGTTTTTTTAAAGTGGAGATTATATAGGATTGTCTTGCATGCATATCAGACATCATGGCTCAACGATCAGCTAATAAGCATGTGGGTTTCATCAGATGTAGCGTAGACACTGTGCACAGTAAATTTACAGGAATAAAAAATTAATCATATGCAGCTATTAGAAAAGGTAGTAATCATCAGTCTCCAAATGCCATGTGTTTAGCATGATGAACATACTACAAATTAATACTTAACTCACCTGCGAGCTATCTGAAAGCAACATCCCCCTGAAAGGGGAATTTTTTCTGCCCTGACTTTCTGCCACTGTTCCCTGCGTCATGGGTGGAACCAGTGGAATCAGTAACACTTTTAAGTGACAAATGATAAGCATTAATAGAAGAAGATAAGGGAACTGTTAAAGAGGGCAGAGAAACTTTGGAGTGAAGTTTTACATTGCACAACGAGCAGTGCAAAACCACTTTTTAAACATTTTAGCACCCCCACAAAGTTATTGTATATAGAAAGTTTGCGCACACATTAAAAATACAAGTTATTCATTTTGACAAGTAACTAAAAATACAGCAAAGGGAGAATAGAGACTATGTGACAGAGTAAGATGAATGAGCAACCAACCTCATGCTGATGCAAGCATACATGAGGAACTTAACTGTCTCAATTTTTTTTTTTCCATTTTAATCAATAGGACTTCTTCCACGACTTAAGTGTTTGCAGGGATGGGACATCTACACAGCAGAGAATAAAGTTCTGGAAATCATCACTGAATAATCAAATATTTTAGTCTGATTTAAACCAGGACTCAGAATGCATAAAATGGAGCATGGTGCAAT